TACCATGAAAACTTAAATAAAAGCCTTAGGGTCAGACATAAAGATGTATGATATGGTAAAATATGTCTTTCTTCGTCTGTCTGTCTATCTATCTACCTGTCTGTCTGCCTAATTACTAAGCTAACTACTAAGCTAGTTACATTTATCCAGTTACAGAATTTAACTTGTAGACATACTCAAGAAAAGATCATTTAAACAACTGGGGAAAATATCTGTTTTATTTTGAATGATCTTTACATGGAAACGCAGAGAACTGAATTCGCACAGTAGGTATCAAAACTGAATTCACAAGCAATGCAAAGCCATGTTATGGCAATCACCCTGCAGGGGTTTCAACAAATTATGGAGGTTTGTGTTCCTACAGATAATCACAGCTATACAACCTCTAGTATTCTAGATTATGTGACACACAATTCTTATAATCCTCTAAAATAAGGAAAATGATATTGATAAATATATTTTATCTTGTTCCCCCCAAAAAATAATAGCAGAGACAAAAGAGCAGATGATAAAGTGATGCATTGTGATGTTGTGACAATAATAATCAATGAATAATAATGGCATTGCAGTAGTTATGAATGAAATTAAATAAGATCACAGAAGAAAACATTCTCACAATGACTAGGCATTATGTTCAGGAAAGAAATAAGGGAAACAGTTGTAAATATAGAAACATCTGTAACTTCCACAAAAATAAGTTGTGAGCTCTATCTCCCACTCCTCGTGGGCAGCAGCAATGACTGTAGTACACATCAGCCCCAATAGATATAATAAAAAACAAAGAAAAGAGTTACTTGCACACTATCCAAAATCCCTAGGGATATCTTATTAACTTGAGGTTTTTAATATCACTCCAATTGCAATTTAAGTGTCAGCTAAACTGTTACATCAGGGCAACCTCTATGTGATTCCTACACTTGCAATTAATCTTGCTTCTTTCAGCCAAAAGATAAAACCCCTATCGTACTTATTAACCCTTAATAGGGAACACATGGAAGGGTGGCAGCATCGTAACATGGCTATGTGATACAAAAGCAAATATCTCAAAAGATAAAAGATTTCCAGAATCCCACACAGCCTAGTCACATAATAGATAGTAGATTGGAAGCTAGGTATGGTATGGGAAAGGTGCCTGTGACATGTACTTTATTATGTTTAACCCTGGATTAACTATGTTATAGTTGTAATCAAAATGTTTCAACCCACCATTGAAAATTGGCGTATTATTGTTTTTATTGTCACATCGACAGACTTTCTGCTGTTTGCAATGAACAAATCAAACAAAAGCAATTAAAATAGCTCAACAAAATAAATGCTTCAATCGATTTCCCCAAATTCAACTGAAAATGCAAGCTATAATGACTTCTCCAATTTCAAAATTATTCAACCACCTGAATAGAATCCCTCACAATAGCACAAATATGCAAAACTGATCTTGTCTCAAGCACACCTGTTGCAACTAATCAAGGGCTTCACTAGTTGCACCAGGTCTGCTTGAGCTGGAACACTAGAAATACCTGAACTGACTAGGGGTTTGGTGAGTGTCACATTTGACTGCATGTTATAAATATGGTGAAGTCAAAAGAATGGTCTGCAAAGTTAAGTGAAGAGATCATTGCCCTAAAAATGGAACAGGATACAAAAAGATAGCAAAGGCACTGAATGTTCCTAGAGACACCCTTTGAAGCATAACTCGCGGGTTCAGAGTGGAAGTAACAGTGGACGGGGCAGTGTATGTGTGTGTATGTGTGTGCTTAAAAAGAATAGTTGACAGATTGGTCCCTAATTTGGTGTTACATATGGCATTCCCACATAAAAGTAGCAGATTAGTGGGTTATCTATGAAGCACATGAGCAAAACTAATGATATCACCAGTAAAAGTGCTTTTTATGTGTAAAAAGATGCAAAAAACAAGTTTCCTGCCGCACCTGAGTCTAATAGGGCTTTGCATGAAAAGTCCTCGCTATCACATTTGGCCGTAATCTTAAGGAGGAATCTATTTTTGTTATTTCCAAAATAGTCTTAGAAAATTCTTTCTTAAATGCAGAGATTAATCCGCTGTTTGTCCAGTCTACATCAGAAGCCAAAGTGTGAAATTCTATGGCATAATCCGAGATAGACCGGTTCCCTTGTTTGATATGCATTAGGGAAGTGGAGGCGTCATCCTCCCTGCCTAATGGTTCAAACGTTAATTTAAATTCCGCAAGGAATTCCTGGTAATTGTGTGCAATACTTCTATTACTCTCCCACAGTGGATTGGCCCAGGCTAAGGCTTTACCTTTAAGTTGGTTCATCAGGTAATCAATTTTAGCTCTGGCCGTGGGAAAAGATCCCGGCAAGGCCTAAAAATTATACTCAATTTGATTTAGGAATCCCCGGCATTCTTGAATATTACCATCAAAATGCGGGGGAGGAGATAGGGAGATAGTAGGTGCCTTATGTACTATAGATGGAGGTACACTAGGCGGAGGTGACACAGTCGGAGAAACCACAGGCTGCAGATGCGCTGTTCGAGTAAGAAGCGTACTGAAGGCCTGGGCAAATTGATCCATACGGTTATCACTCTCCTCTAGCTTTCTCTTGCAAGCAGCTATGTGCTGACACAATTCTACAGGATCTATAGCCATGTCGTAATGAGGATGGCAAGTTTTTGAGTGGAACGAAATAAGCCATCTTAGAAAAACGGTCAACAACCATAAGGATAGTGGTATAGCCATTAGAATTAGGAAGTTCAACAATGAAATCCATTTCTATTTGTCTCTGTCTGCTTTTTGGCTCCATGAATCTTGTGCCTTGGTACTCTGGGTCCCGGGTATCGCCTCTGCTCATCTCGAGCATGTTGCTAGCTTTTCCGCTGTAGTGCATAGACGTTCCTCCTTCTTTCACTCTGCCTCCTCAGTTCATCGCGGATCCAACACTCACGTGTTCACGCCATACGTCATGATGCTTGCTTCCTTGAGCTTCTGGCAAAGATATCTGAGTCATGTGTTCTATTACACTTATTATTATTATTATTATTATTATTATTATTATTATTATTATTTTATTATTTATATAAAATAGATGTTGGGGAGTTTCTTGTTCCCAAGTTTAGAAAAAGATTGATATATTAACCCTTGCATGGATAGTATTCCAAATAAGGGTTGGTCAGTATGGGTGGTACCAATTCCACCCAGGGCATAACCCTTAAAATTATATATGGATAAAAAATAACAGAAATCCCTATCTATAGATTCCTAATATGGTATTTGAACAAAAATAAGGTAAATGCTTGGAATATACTAAACAGTAAAAAGTGTGTGAGGAAATAAATGCAATTTAGCAACAGATTAACCACATGGCTGTCTAGTCAGTGACTTGTAAGGCTTTATTACTCTTTGCCAAAACTGAACACTTAAACAGCAGTTTTATCTGTTTGTTAACTGAGTATAATCATTGCGTGGGGGAACTAAGATAGTAAAGAACGGGGGATATGGCGTTCTTTACTATTTTAGTTCCCTCATGTAATGATTATACTTGTGGTACTAACAGCTGCTTTATAATAATTGACTCCTTTTTCTCAACTCTGTACAACAGAGCATTATCCACTTACAAATAAGGGGAATTAAGACCATTCTGCACTTCTGAAGTTACCAGGACTAACTTCTAAATTAATTAACTCTTTTTCTGGTTCAGAGCTACTAGAGGGTCCTACATTAGTTTGTGCTGGGTTTTCACAAACTAATGTTTTTTTATAGGTGAATGCTGTATATTTTATTCATCATGATCTTTCTCATCTGCCTGAGAATCTGCAAAAGGAAATTCATCACTGTTTACCTGATGGGTTTTCAACAAAGGCCCATAGGTCTAGAAAATGAGGAAAATCCCTTCCAATGATCATCTCATGTGCCAATTTTGAGAAAAAAAAGGAATATTTGTAGAGAAATATCCAGGATAGCATCCCCCTAGTTTTAACACTGCAGCTGAAAACATAGTAGGCTGGATTAACATTGAGGGTTAATCCATCCTCTAGTGGCTGTCTCCCTGACAGCCACTAGAGGCCACTTCCGCGATTCTCAGTGTGAAAATCGCATTTAACTCATGCCGAACGTCCATAGGAAAGCATTGAGTAATGCTTTCCTATGGACGGTTTGAATACACGCATGCCTCTTGCCGCGCATGTGCATTCAGCTCCACTCGGGAGCTGATGTCGGCAGGGGGAGGAGAGGTCACCAGCGCCGAGGGAGCCCAGCACTAGATTGAGGTAAGTGGCTGAAGGGGTTTTAACCCCTTCAGCCCAGCGGGAGGGGGGCTCCAAGGGAATGGGGACCTAATAACCCTATAGTGCTGGGAAAACAAGTTTGTATAGTGTTTCTTTAAGCATGGGAGCAGATAAGTTATATAATACCATACATAAAAAAATTATCTGTAAATTATGTTGGGTGTTTATTAAAGAAATTACTACATTTACAATGGAAAAAAAAATCAAGATGCAAATGAACAGTTGTAATGTCCCTTTCAATGCACATTTATCAAGTTAAGTCTATGGATTTTTTGCCTTTGTAGAATGATTGAAATTTGAGACTATCTGAAACGAGTGGATGAGTAAACATCATATGTTTGCTTTTCATGTATTATTTAGTGCTTTATGCCCTGTGATAAGAGAGCATTTAGTAACTAGAAGCTCACAAATGAATATACTAGACTTTCATTTGCTGTTCTGGGCAAAGCAACCCAAACTCAGTGAAGTATATTTGCAGGCAAATACTTTTTTTTAATTCAAATTGTGAGGGATACAGATAAAACTTATTATCTAATTATATAAGCTTAGATGAGTTTAAAAGTCCAAAAGAAGTTTTGAGGAAGTTTTGTAAAAGTAGTTTATACTACTAAAAGTAATTCTAAAAACAACTATTGCAAATGTAAACCATTGTTGAAAATACACTAAATAAAAATCTAAAAATGAAATGTTCTATATTTATGCTATTCTTTTATATGTTGCAGACCACTGATGAGGTATCTCTTGGGTCAGTCATAATTTGAACAATTCGCTTGCCAATGTTTGAAAACAAAAGATGACCTGCTTGATTTGTCAATCCATAAGTTAAGTCAGTACATTTTCGAGTTAACTCAGTTTGGTCAACATATATATTGCCCCAGCAGTTTTGTTTGCTACTCTGTGAAAATAATTGGTATATGCTTTTAGCAATGACACTTTCCTGCTGTTTAGTGCTGTACATGTACATCAAACATAATCACCATATAACAGGATATTATCTCTTAAAGTGCTACAACACAAAGGGTGCTCAAAGTGCTCAAACGGTAGTGAAAATGTTGAAATTTATATATGTTGGAGTTTGTCAGTTTGTTTAAAAACATAACAAAAAGATTTAAATTTGTACAAAGTCAGGATTAAAGATATTTCAAAATTGTCTTTCTCCTTTCTTTAGTTATTAAAACTGGTTAAAAAAAATTTAATCATATTTTGATGCGGTGAATATAAAATAAAATAAATACTTAAATTGCAAAACAAGGAGAAAAAAACCCCAAAACAATTGTATTGTCTAAAATGAAAGCAGCATACACTTTTATATGTGCCCCATAATCTTGAATTTCAGTCAGTCAACTGTAGTGAGGCTTGATATAGACCAATACGATCAAAACATTGTCAGGCATACATATTCAGATGGAATAAAGTTTATTTTGCAAGACTTAATGGTGTTGAAAGAATATATTAAATTTACGGAATTTGAAGGGGTCCTGTTACTTAGTAGCCACTCACGCTTCCCTGAACGGGTATCAGATTACTTTACTTGGCAATTGTTTTCTTCTGTGATTAGATAGCTTGAAAACACAATTCATCACAGTGCACCAAGGGGCAAGTCTTCCCTTATGTCAGACTTACCTTTGAAATGTGATAAGGGATTTTAATTACTGAAGAAAAAAAGAGATATTTAAGCAAGACTGGTAACAAGACAGGTAAGTATGAATTTTCCTCTCTAATGTGGCAGCAGAAGGTTTCATTTGTATGTCAGTGCTTGCCCCAGTGAGACTCTGTGTCTGATTTAACTTGGAAAAAAAATTACCTCTATAAAATTGGTTTTCAATGCCTGTGAAAACCAGATGCCATTTCGTAAATACCAAATGGCTTTACAGTTTTATATGGAGCAATTTAGTTTCTAAACTTCTACTATATGACACGGTGGTAAAGTTACATCACTTTGTAAATTGCTTTTTTGTGTTTACTTTGACTACACTTCTTTAAAAAATTGCATATAGTTATTTTTGTTTAAATGCTAAAATCTTTGTTTTTCTTTTTTCAATTCATAGATTTTTATTGCATAATTATTCATTGACAAATACACATCATCAAATAAACAATCAAGTTAATTCAAATAAATTGCTAATAAATATACATTCAGTAAAACACACAAGGGAAAAAAATACATATAGCATGGGAGTCGTTCTACAGCATCTGGGAATTTACCTTTTGGGCACCCCACCTTAAATCATCCCCACTAAAAAAAAAAAAAAAAAATTTTTTTCTAAAGTAGCCTGAAATTTAATTTGATATTGCATTTCTGGCCGCAAAGAAATCTCAATTTTTTTCCTGTATCTGGCCATGCACTTCTTAAAAGCAAGAAGTATGTTCATGCATAACTATTTTGTACATGTATCTATATTCAAAAGATCTAAATGAAATAAAAAGGTTTGATGGGTTACTTCATAGTTCTGGTTTAATATGGTTGTAAACATTACTGCTAATTTATTTTTAATTTGGGCAAGATTAATACATTCCCATCAAATACAGAATTGGGTAGCATTTTCTCTAAGACATCATTATACCCTTTGATTAAATTTAGATATACTAGTGGGTGTCTTATACCATCTATGAGTTAACTTATAATATTGTTCATGTAAGTTTACACAATGTATGGCTTTTCTAGTTGTATATCAAGCTTTTTACCACATTAAACAAAAATGAACACTTGATATCGCATTCCCATTTTTTTTTCAACTTTCAAGATAGTTTTTTTTTTTTTTTTACTTTTTATTGTATGTTCAGCAATAGGGTACAGAAAAGAATAGGGAGGAACATGGGGGGAAATAAAAATGAAGGCATGACTTTACCGTACATTTCATTTGATACATTTAACATTGTACACCATGTTGTCTTTTGATTTTTGTAGTAGTTGCAGGTTTGGCATCATAATGTGGCATGATAATAGCAATACCTATAAGATGCAGCATAACCAATTCCGGTAGTCAGGTCAAGGTTCTGAAGGGAGGGGGGTTGGGGTACGGAGATTAGAATGAGGATGGGCGTGGGTGGTGGGGAATTTTGAGCAGCAGGTGGTGCTGTTGTCTAGTGAGTTGGAGGTTACAGATTACAAAAGTGTGTGGATTTTATAGTTGGTGATCCACCAGTATTTCTCCCTGGAACTTCCGTGCACCTCTCTGTGATTTTAGCAGCTGTATTCTATGATGTTTCACATATAGTGTATGGGTTACTGGAGTGGAGTGCGTGGCTTTTTATAAACGTCAGTGGACCACTGTCCTGTGGTTAGTAGGCAAAGTGTCTTTTGTTGAATAATTATTATTTATTTATTCTTTTTCTCTTTTATATGTGTAACAATAGGTGTAGGTTTCACTGTTATCTGAAAAATATATCAAACTACAACCGAGTCGGAGCTTACCATGAGGTTAAATAAGGTCAGCTACAGTGATGTGTGATGGGCAGTGAGTACATAATCGCATTCCCATTTTTTTGAGTTCTTTGTAATTATTAGAAGTTTAAGATATAAGATTTTAAACTTCTAATCTATATAAGAAATTTTTTTCCCAGATATCGATATCCATATATGAAAGAACAACTAAAAAATATTTGACTCTTTAATAGGTAAATAATTCACCAAATGGTAAGTTAAATTTGTTACATAGTTCAGTAAACTGGATATATTGTTCGCTATTATATAAATCTGAAATTATTATTTTTTTGTTTATCTTGTTTTTATTCAAATTTTTCATAGAAAACAATGACACATAGACTTCATCTTGCATGGAATTATCACTGTACATACATTCGTTCAGTTGTAAAATAAATTGAAGAATTAATGGAGATTAACAATTTGATCGGAAATATCAACATATGGTACATATGGTTAGAGTTATGATGAGGTTACATGACTTCTCATTACAGCACTCAATTCACGGTTGTTGATTTTGTTATGCATCTTAGAAAGTAAAATGTAAACTAGAGCATCCATCCACTTCTTGGTGTAAGGATGAGGCAGTTAGGGGCTACATTACAACTGCATGTAAACAGCATGGTCAACACTTCCATCAGATGTGTGATGCTGTTGTTTGTTGTGTTTGCCATTACCTTAGCATCTGTACATTGCACTTCTTATTGACATTGTAAACAAAGTCAAATGGAACTTAATGTAACATAAAATGTTATAGAAGGAAAAAGGAACAAAAAGGAACATGGCACTATTAACAAAGTTTGTTTGGGTAATTGTATCGCCTTTGGATAATGGTTACATAATCATTGTACAAAGTGCTGGTTTAATGTGTTGTGATACAGCAACATGTTTATGAGATCTGTTTTGTATGTTGGCTTATTTATGTGTTGAAAAAGATTGGAATTGTAATCAGGATGTAAAGATCAGAAGATGTGTTTACCTCCCTGAGGTTTGTGGTGTATTTACCATGGGAACCTGTCCTCCTTTATGAGTCATGTGGGATAGCCAGGATTTCTGGATTTTGGGATATAGTGTCTTGTGAGCTGATGATAGAGAATCGTTAATTGCCTCAATTTGCCTGATACGTTCCACCCTAGAATACCATTCCTTCAGAGGAGGTGGTGTTTGCTTTTTCCAGTATTTGGGCTTTAGTGCCTTAGAGGCTGTTAGTAATATTCAAGAAATGTGTGGTATGTTTTTGGTGGTTTAGGTGACAGGTGGAAGAACATTTCTTCAAGAGATTGTGGTTTTGGTATGTGAGCAATGGTTGCTATCAGGCTCAAGATTGTGGTCCAATACTCTTTTAAAATTCCACAATCCAACCATACATGCCTGTATATTCCCTTCTCCCTCCCACACCTCAAGCAGATGTCTGGTACCAGAGAGTAAATGTGATGCAGTCCAACAGGGGTTTAAATTCCATTGTGCAAGTAATTTATAATTTGTTTCGACTAGAGGTATGCTTGATGTGTTTTATGTGCTTGCTGGAATATTTTCTTCCAGTCTGACGGTGAGAGGGCATTTTTTAATTCTTTAGACCATTCCTCTACATATTTGGGTAGTGTGCTACAGTAAGCATCAAGGGTAGTTAAGTAGATCAGGGAAAGTGGTTTCTGTAAGATACAAGTGTTAGAGAACCACTCCTCAAAGTCAGTATATTGGGTAGATGCATTTAATTCTTTTAGCGATGTCACAATTTGGGATAATTGGTGGTACCCAAACATGTAGAGAAAAAAGGGGTGCTTGTTTGGGCATAGTTCTGGGAGGGGTTTTAGCTTTCCCTCTGTCATCACCTCCATTAAGGTTACATATAAAAAAAGGCTTGTTGGTCGGAGCCACCTAAGTCCATCCATCTCTAGTAATCAATATTTGAAAGCATACTTTTTCCATAGGCTTAGTAGAGGGCTAATAGTGGGCTGTTGGCAAGGACACATTAGGGAGATTGACTCTATTTGCCATGGGATGGAGGCTAAAGGGCATTGTATCCACTCCTGTACTAGGAATTTCCAGTCCTGTGTACTAGTAGGATGGCAACAGTCTAAGATACTGGTGAATTGTGCTGCTAAATAATATTTAAATGAGTCAGGTAGGCTAAGTGCCCCATTGGTTTTGGGTCTATTTAATGTTAAATGACTATCTAGGTCTTTTACCGAACCATATGTAGTCTGTGAACATTTTCCTCAGGGATGTGAAGAAAGAGGGAGGGATGCCCACATGTCTATCAAGGAAAAGTAGGGTTTGTTCCATTTAGGCTAGGTCCTTGGTTAGAGTTTGTAGAAGTGGGGAGTTATTTAAAATGAAGATATCTTTTACCTCTGGTGTCATCTTGACCCCTAGGTATTTTATATGGGAAGTGGTTACCTTAAAGGGAAATTGCTTCTTAAGCGTTTGTATAATGTAATGTGGTGTTTCTATTTGGAGAATTTAACTTTTTTCATAATTTACTTTAAAATTGGAGATTGTGTAGTATAGCGACAGTTCCCACATCAGAGCTG